TTTTAAATAAGTATCTGATGAAAATCAATTCATTCTATAAATCTCCAAACATTATATTGTGTACTGTAGCTATTTTATAACAAAAACAACTAAGAGTCGCATTTAGCTAATTTCAAGTTATTTAATTATTCATTTTTTTGTTTTTTTTGTTTTTTTGTTCAATAAGCTTAATAGTTAAACTTTACACAATCTGTCATCGTTGAATTATACCATCATCTGGATATTGTTATATATAGATAATAATATCAAGGTAAAGCTCTTTGCGAAAGCGACCCCTTCTTATCAAACGTTGATATTTTCACTTGTAATATAGAATTCAGATTTAGTATAACCAAACTCACTATCTTGAATCCTTTAAATGGGTTTTTCTTTTCTTCTATACGATCGGAAGTTTTGTATTTTCCATCTTATCTGATAATTTTGATTTCTAGAAGGTCTTAGTTATTCTTTAAAAACAAAATCAAGAAAAACAAACGAAATTGATTAAATAATTTTGAAATTGTGTTTAAAAGCAAAAAAGTAAACCTGCATCCATCATTTACTTGTTTTTCAGCAACTTTAATAGAAAACAAGAATCCAAGTTAAAAATTGGTTGCTAAAATGTGAAAAATGTGAAAAAATATTTCCATTGACTTTACAATAGAAAGAAGGTTTTGTCAATATAATTTCAAAATAATTCACGGTGAGCCTATCTGGGTAAATACGTGCCCCATGTAGCACGGACGAAACACTTACGCTTCCGGAGCGCCTGGTTCCATTCCCTTTATCTTTAGATGTATGTGATGCTATCTTTCCTTTGTTTTCATTATTCCGAAGTTAGTTTTATTGTTACGTATTTTAGGTAAAACGTGTTCTTGTGTGTTAACGCGGTAATATATGTATTTTGAATTTACATAACACAACGCAGAAACGACCTTTACTTATGTCCTGTAATGTCAAGCTCTAAGCAGATCAAATCTTCACATGAATACAAAGTTATTATAACATTTTCTCAGTTATTATGTCATTGACAAGTTATTCATTGTGTTGAAATCATCGCGGAAGCGAGGATACTGCAAAACAGATAGAGAAATCACATGAAAATGGAACGATAGAAGACAGGAGAGAAAGAGAAAAAAAAGGGAGCTAGAAAAAAATAGATAATGATACAGTGATTGACAAATGGGAAACTGAAGAGTAAGAAAAGGAACAAAATGAGATTAAAGGAAGAAATGAGATGAAATTAGGGAGTCGGACAACTCATAATATGACATTTAGAATAGATCTGTCTAATTCATTCATTGTTCTTAGGTTGCTCTAAAACAGACCATTGATATGAGAGCGATCATACCTTACGGTTGTTCTAAGGTTGTTTTAAAACAGACCAATGATATGAGTGCGATCATCCCTTACGGTTGTTATAATGGTGCTTTAAAACAGACCATTTATATAAGTGCGATCATACCTTACGGCTGTTCTAAGGTTGCTTTAAAACAGACCATTGATATGAGTGCGATCATACCTTACGGTTGTTATAATGTTGCTTAAAAACAGACCATTGATATGAGTGCGATCATACCTCACGGTTGCTCTAAGGTTGCTTTAAAAAAGACCTTTGATATGAATGTGATCATACCTTACGGTTATTCAAATGTTGCTTTGAAAAAAGACCATTGATATGAGTGTGATCATACCTTACGGTTATTCTAATGTTGCTTTAAAACAAACCATTGATGTGAGTGCGATCATACCTTACGGTTGTTCTAAGGTTGCTTTAAAACAAACCATTTATATGAGTGCGATCATATCTTACGGTTGTTCTAAGGTTGTTTTAAAACAGACCATTGATATGAGTGTGATCATACATTACGGTTATTCTAATGTTGCTTTAAAACAAACCATTGATGTGAGTGCGATCATACCTTACGGTTGTTCTAAGGTTGTTTTAAAACAGACCATTGATATGAGTGGGATCATACCTTACGGTTGTTCTAAGGTTGTTTTAAAACAGACCATTGATATGAGTGCGATCATACCTTACGGTTGTTATAATGTTGCTTTAAAACAGACCATTGATATGAGTACGATCATACCTCACGGTTGCTCTAAGGTTGCTTTAAAAAAAACTTTGATATGAATGTGATCATACCTTACGGTTATTCAAATGTTGCTTTGAAAAAAGACCATTGATATGAGTTTGATCATACCTTACGGTTATTCTAATGTTGCTTTAAAACAAACCATTGATGTGAGTGCGATCATACCTTACGGTTATTCTAATGTTGCTTTAAAGAAAGACCATTGATATTAGTGCGATCAAACCTTACGGTTGTTATAAGGTTGTTTTAAAACAGACCATTGATATGAGTGTGATCATACCTTACGGTTGTTCTAAGGTTGCTTTAAAACAGGCCATTTATATGAGTGCGATCATACCTTACGGTTGTTCTAAGGTTGCTTTAAAACAGACCATTTATATAAGTGCGATCATACCTTACGATTGTTCTAAGGTTTCTTTACAAAAGACTATTGATCTTAGTGCGATCATACCTTACGGCTGTTCTAAGGTTGCTTTAAAACAGGCCATTTATATAAGTGCGATCATACCTTACGATTGTTCTAATGTTGCTTTAATACAGACCATTGATGTGAGTGCGATCATACCTTACATTTGTTCTAAGGTTGCTTTAAAACAGACCATTGATACGAGTGTGATCATACCTTACGGTTGTTCTTAGGTTGCTTTAAAACAAACCATTGATGTGAGTGCGATCATACCATACGGTTGTTGTAATGGTGCTTTAAAACAGACCATTCATATGAGTGCGATCATACCTCACGGTTGTTCTAAGGTTGCTTTAAAACAAACCATTTATATGAGTGCGATCATACCTTACGGTTATTATAAGGTTGTTTTAAAACAAACCATTGATGTGAGTGCAATCATATTTACGGTTGTTCTAAGGTTGTTTTAAAACTGACCATTGATATGAGTGTGATCATACCTTACGGTTGTTCTAAGGTTGCTTTAAAACAAACCATTGATGTGAGTGCGATCATACCTTACGGTTGTTCTAAGGTTGCTTTGAAACAGACCATCGATATGAGTGCAATCATACCTTACGGATGTTCTACGGTTGCTTTAATACAGACCATTGATGTGAGTGCGATCATACCTTACATTTGTTCTAAGGTTGCTTTAAAACAGACCATTGATACGAGTGTGATCATACCTTACGGTTGTTCTTAGGTTGCTTTAAAACAAACCATTGATGTGAGTGCGATCATACCATACGGTTGTTCAAATACATTGTATGTGTGGTGTATCAAATTTCGACATAACGATACTCTAGCGAATATATAGAACTCTGCAGTATTACTAGAGTTTGATTTAATAGCCTACAGTTTAATCTAAACTAGTATTTATCCCTTCTATTGGCCTAGTAACGGGCTTGAAAAGCACGCACGACTATTCTATTACAATCGATATTAAAATGCATTTTGCATTAAGCCCTTTCAAATAAGACAAAGATATATAAATTGAAAAAAATGTCTTACCTGCATGATAAACAATCAATTCAAATTTTGCGAAATTCAAAGAATAAGAAAATTGTATTTTTTTATGTTTTTTTTTTTTTTTAGTAACATAAATATGTGAGCATTTATCATTTAATACAAATACATATTTGTTACAGCTTATTAAAACAATGTCAAATATAATTAGTTTTTATGATCTTTCCGTGATTATTATTTTACAGGGGTACCTAAGTACCGATTCTGCAACAGAATTATTAAAACATTTTGTAGAGTTCAGCAATATAAACTTATAAGACGACGCCTAGAATTGGCCACACAAAAGAACGTAGTAAAACATTTCCCTGCCCCAGTTCGATCCCAGTCTAACATATTCTGTGATGTAAATGAAATACCACAAACCCAGCGAAACCTGAAAGATAGATACAAGACTGTTTGTACGACGATCTCAGAGTAAAAATATATTATTTGCTAATACGGTGGTGTTGTAAGCGACGTCTGAGGTATTGACCGGTGTTCTCCAACTTCAAAGGGCCGATAGCTGGGTGGGCTGGGGGGTTGGGATAATGATTTGTACATGTTAGGATTCCTTCAGTACTGATTGTATACCTCAGGGTGTATCAAGCCTCGCTGGGTTAATGCCGCTTTAAGTAAAAAATTCAAATTTATTTTTATTTATATATTAAATTGGTATTTCTGGCAATATTTTTTTGGCTTATTTTGTCTGGTTTTAAACACTTTGAATGAAATGAAATGCACATTTTGATTTTTAGATGTTTTTTACCCCCTGGATGTATGATTAAGCGAATGACGCCCTGTACATCTCAAACGATAATACTAATCATCTGAGACAGTGAAGTCCGCAACTGCACCAAACAATTACACCAATATCAATGCCAATGATAGAGGATCATTTGTCTCTGTAAAGTCCGTCTAGTCGATTGGTCATTGTTCCTCAAAACAAATATGCCTAATACCCATTAAGACAAACCAGTGTGACTCGGGAGAGGTCAGACATAGAAAGGAGAAAAAAATCGTTGAAAAACTAGTATTAACTTCAAATTTAAGCGTATGTTTTTATTCCCATATATCGTGCTATCATAGTTGTATCAGATAACGCGGTCTGTCGGGGTCAGTGATCAAACGATCCCAACTATTGTGAGGGGATATACCACAATAGCACCCTAGCACACAGGGCTGGTGAGCCACACAGCGACAGGCTTTACCTGGTGTACTCTGGCAGGAAAGTCACCTGTAAATCCCATGAATAATACTTATTGCTTTTTCTCCCCCATTCATTTCAATTATATTAGTTCCTGATAGTATTTTACTGAGTTCTATCCTCACCGTGTTCTGATGATAGGGTAAACCCTGAAGATGGGATTTGTCATTTATAGTTGTTATAAGGATACTACGTTCGAGTTAATCAAGTCAATACATTCACCATGCATGTTTTATCAGACACTATTTGATGTACCTCTTTACAGGCCAGTCGTGATGACTAGAGGCATTAGCGGATAGCTAGAACTGTATGAGGTCGCCAACAAACCATATCTGAGGATTTTCAACACAGGAAGGAATAAGTGACGTAACGGTATCTGTCTATACGTATTGAGGAAATCGGGATTGTAGGAGATAGAAACCGCTGTATAGATATTAAAAGGATGCTTCGTCGTCGGAATACACATTCACAGTTATATATAATGTAGCGGGGACCTCCTGAGTCATGGTTCGCTTGAATTCTCTCAGTGACAGAAGTCGAAGTCTGGAGCACCAGCTACCCAAACACACTATTTTGGAGGATGTGATTTTCAATTTACATCGAAACTACCTATATGGAGTGAACGTTTACCCGTTACTACTTGTCTACCATAAGTTAGACTTGAGTTCGGATATGAGGAAATGTCTTGGGGAGTAATAGACCGTCCTTGGATCGCCGTCCATACCATCTCACCCCGGGGTACACTGCCACACGCAGGTACGCACTGTTATTGTGGTTCACGGAACAAGGGTGATTGGAACTGATTGACAAGTACGTGGTTTCAGCTCTCCCAATACGCAATTTGTTAGTATTCATTCCCAAATAAACTGCAACAAGCCTCTTTCTTGCATGCATGTATATATGTAATGTATGTGTGTTAGTATACATATCAGTGCGAACTATACAGATAAATGGTTATACGTATGGAATTGTTCCTGAATTACTTTTGGAACTACCGACAAAGTTATGGTGTTATTTCTCCCTGGAGATTGGAAATAAGAATTACGTAATACCGATTCCTGTGCAATAACTGGCGGCGAGCAGTCCAGCAATTCTCACCAAGGACGCGCGGTCATTGCATGTCAAACCATGCAAGTTCAAGGAGTACTTGTATTTGTATACTTTTATCTGCTGTGTCCAACCAATATCATAGGTCTATGGTGGTAAGTAGCTCATTTACATATTCATGCAATTCATAATAATTAGGCTCATTTGTATATTCACATTTTAAAAAGCATTTAAATGAATATAAATGATTTGAAAATTATTTCTTGAGTAATTATTTGGATTTAAAGTGTGTTATTTAAATTGTTTAAAATATCTTGACTAAATTGGAATCTGTAAGTATTTTTCATGATATTTCACTCATTAAATGATACTTTATTATGAGGATCATTAATTTGAATAAGTCAATCTTATTATAAGTTACAATGAACAAATTAAAGCTATTTCAATATCATTTATTAAAATATTCGTTTACGAAATAAATAACTTAATTGCAAAAAACACTTAAAAACAAAACAGGTAATGCTAGACATGCATTTGTGCGGATTATCTATCTAGTGACAATTATATTAATTATACGTCTTATTTAGATGCTAATTACACGAGATAATCACTCGGTGACTAAGACGGATAGATTTGGTGGTAATCTCTGGCCGTGTATTCAGTTAATATCGATAGCAAAGCAAACAGACCGGTACGTTGTCTGCATAGTCTGGCCTAGGTCATCGTGATTTAGACGGGGCGATTCTAACGAATGGCGTTGACCTAAGGTAACCTCAGTTGATAGGCTTGGTATCATTTACGTATCATCGCCCACTCAGATACACAGTCTAGTTTAACTACACACCACCATCACAAAGACGCTTGAAGACATAGCATTATAGAATAATCAAAACGTTTACATGGTAAATTAACCGGATAACATATCACAATCTGGTAATCATAATGACCCAATTTGGTAGATTTCTATAATTAGAAATATTTTACAACGAATAAACATATAACATTGATGTATTTAAACTACTGAAGATTTACATTATGAAATTAGAAAATGGTTTTGTCCTTTTTTTCCTTTCATATTCTGTCATTTCTTTAAAGGAAACGTAATAATTTTACATTGATAATTCATATTTGTTTTAATAATTAATGAATGTTTCTGCTATATAAATTTCAATATTAATTAATCAAAATCAAATATGCATGGTCATAACATTTTGTTTTGCAAATAAATGGGAGCTACATGTACTTATAAAATGGATATACAATACATATCTAAATTATTTTAGAATCACTTAACAAACTTTGAAGACAGAGATATTAGTAACGATTTGAATCAGATCAATTTGATTAGACGTATTTCTAATAATTGTATCAACATATTTTGCAACTATGTATTTTTTTTTTTAAAATTCGTACAAAACCCCATCTTTATCATATATGTTTATATAACAATACACCTTTAATTTAATTGCGTGGTAATATGTCTTTTCCCACTGTCGTATTATTTTCATTGCTTTTTGTCAATTCCCCAGATATTGACATCATATTTTTACAACTAGATGAATATTTAAACTTCGATGCTATCATGTAGAAATATTACTGATAACCTGCGCCGTAGACCTACAAACGCTTGCCTATCTACCTAATGCCCTAAAAGAAGAACTTGTTTGATATAAAAGTACATATCAATATACAAATTCAATTTTGAATCGTTCTAGGTGTTTTTGAATTTGAGATCTTATAGACGTTTTAAATGTTTATTGATAATTTGTACCTTTCTACGTAAAGTAGAAACATAACGGCGCAGACGAAATTATTTACAAATACGCCCCAATTCTTTTGCACTTTATAAATGTGAGTTCATATGCTGATAGTAGATATAGATAGCTCGGTGAATGTTTTGCAATAAAGCTCATGATAAAAAGTACGCTTTGATTCAATTAGTGCGTAAAGCATTTGTCAAACATGCTAAATAGTTTAAATAATTGGAGGATATATATTACTTACTCAACACATAAAAATGCATCAAATCAATTGTAGTCCGACTCGAGATATGAAATAAGTTTACATTGCAATGTTTCATGCTATACATTTTGCCTCATAATTTAATTATTATTTATGTATCTTAGTCTTTCTCTATAAAATCTGAAATAACAATGTCTAATTATATTTGCTGATTTTTGAATAATAATAACATGTATAAATGTGATAAAATGCACCTGCTTTGTATTTATTCCCTGAAAGAGACTAAATGGCTCCTAATTGTCATGATAGTGATCACGGAATTAAACAACAATGTAGATATAATTGTTCGCCTGGTTATAACACGTGTTCCTATGATGCAAAAGTATGCTTTCTGTGTAGTATTCATACATAGACATTCAGTACCACAGTTCATCAAGTACAGATGATAATATGCGAGGAATACATTTTTTCTGGTTGAAAATATGTTAACTTTGTTTAAGCATGAACCTCCCTGCCTAAGGCTAAACACAGGGGTAGACATTTCACGATAACATCTAGGAGCAGGTACTTAGGGTAATGTAAACCACGCACTTGTGTAAAAGCAGCTGTTTGTATTTCACACTCGATGGACACTATACCCATTTTGTAACAATACAAAATATATTACCAGACATTTTTAGAAGATGAACAACTGCTTTTACTTCGTTTGCCAAATGTGGTTTCCATTATGTAGTTAGGAAAATTACAAAATCATGTAAGAACATAGAAAAGTAATGGTTACCTGTGTGAAATGGACATAGGCATATATTAATCCGGAGTGTGACTTTAAACTTCTGAATAAAGGATCAATATTGAAATGTCGAATCAAAATAATATGTATGCTTGTCAAATCACTGTTCATTGACGTCACCAAAAATAACGCTTAGATGTTTTAATAACGTATGCGCGCAACAAATACTGAAGTTTGAAATAATTAGTACTTGATTTAAAGAAGATTTCTGGTTATGTTACAGTTCATTTTCTGAAACATTTTTTTTTTTTTTTTTAAATATGCGCATCACCAAAATGATTTGTTTAGGACGTGTCATATACAGTTCTCTGGTCATACGGACCACGTTTACAGGTCAATTATACTTGGACTAACGCAAACGTTAAAAACAGGATAATTTGTGTTGAAATAGAAAACTGTATTGTTTATGCTCTAATTCCTGTTGGAAATATAAATTCAGCATTTGCATAAAACAAGGTTGTAAAAATACATCTATTTCAACACATCTTCAATCCAAATTATCCATGTCAATTAGTAGAATAATGAACATGTAAAAGGACATATGAACCATTCAGAATAAGCTAAAACAATATATAGTTAGAGGTTCTTGTTTCGATAATGCGATAAGTGCCTGAGGCAACCAGTGTTAAGTACTAGTTAACGTTGAACAATTATGATCGACACACAAATATACTCATCCTTTTTTTCTGTGATAAGTGAAGAGGTACGAGAGGTGTGATATGATGTGAACAGAGGGGTACGGGGATGGGAAGGAAATGGGCGCGGTTATTTGCCATATGAGTAGGTGCGTTAATTTATTGGCTGAGAGTTGATTAGTATCACATTCTGCAGACTTTACACAATGCATTTTGTGGTTCGCACGGCGTGTACCTGATGTCGGCAGGTCATCGCTTACATAGATATGAAAGCAACAGCTTGGTTAAAGTAATTTACAATTACAAGTGGTTGCAACTTTTTCAATTAGGTGTGTAATCTTATCATGGGTACTAGGAATTTACTCATGGGGTAAATAATGATGTTTCGTGGTATCCTGGGATGAATTGTACATTTGTACTAGCCTGAAATACTCTGGAACATACATAAAATCGTAATTCCTTCAAGATTAAACTTTTTCATGTTTTCAAATATAAGGGTATGCAATACATAATCCAATAAGTAATTGCATTACAGTGCACTCGAAGACTGATTTATTGTAAAAGTCAAAACATTAAAACAAACAAACAAGCTTTAATTTCTACCAATTATAGTATCCACAAGCAAAACTATGTAAATTGGAAAATAAATGTATAAATAAGCTAAAAATATCAAAGACTCGACAATAACACAAATCGGTGGATAGTCTGATCAGTAAATGAATACATAAATCGATATCTAGAAAAGAAAACGTAACCAGAACAATCAGCACGATTCATTATCACAAGTTGTCTTTTCCACAATAGTATTAGATTTCTTTGCTAATAATATATATGGACAGAAGTTTGTGTTTGAATGAAAACCATCCTGGTGTTTTAAACTGTTATACTGATACCTCGTGATCTGTACAGGACTTTCTTTTGGCGAGATGTGTTTTCGGGTTGGTTTATAAGATTAGTTAATCGCTCTTTTAGATATTTCCTTAATATTTATTTCGATGAATTATAATACTTATATATACATGTTACTGTTCATCAAGCGAACTCGAATTCAAATGAAGAAAGCCAAACAAAATAATGATTATACTTCATAACTGGTACTGAAAGACCACTAGAATGAAACGTCCTCGTCTAAATTACTTCGAAATATCCTAGACTAAATTGTTAAGAAATATCCTAATCCAAACTGTTTCGAAACAACCAAGTCTAAATTGTTTCGAAATATCCCAATCTAAGTTGTTTCGAAAAATCCTAATCTAAATTGTTTTGACACATCCTAATCTAAATTGTTTTGGAATATCTTTATCTAAATTGCTTCGAAATATTCTAATCTAAATTGTTTCGGAACATCCTAATCTAAATTGTTTCGGAACATCCTAATCTAAATTGTTTCGGAACATCCTAATCTAAATTGCCTCATAATATCCTAGTCTTAATTGTTTCGAAATATCCTATTCTAATTGTTAAGGAACATCCTAATCTTAATTGATTCGAAATATCCTAGTCTATATCATTTCGAAATACCCGAGTCTTAATTGTTTAGAAATATCCTAATCTAAATTGTTTCGGAATATCCTTATCTAAATTGCTTCGAAATATCCTTGTCTTAATTGTTTCTAAATAACCTAGTGTAATTGTTTAGGAACATCGTAGTCTAAGTTGTTTCGAAATATCTTAGTCTTTATTGTTTAGAAACATCCTAGTCAAATTGTTTCGAAATATCCTTATCTAAATTGTTTCGAAATATCCCTGTCTAAATTGTTTGAAAATA